TGCTCTTTCATCGCTCTAGCCGTGAAACGCATCATCATACAGCCGGTCGCGGAAACTCTAATCTACGGCAATTTATTAACCTCGGAACATTCATAGACGTTTGTGGCGATATCAAGCACGACTCCAAGCACGTCTGAATCGCATCACAAAAGCTTACTGACGGCGCTCCATATGACCGTGGGGTGCGCGGCCGCGTGGACAGTGCAGCCGGCGCGTAATGCACTTGCCGGCGGCGTTCGATGACGATGCGCGAAATGTGTAACTACGAAGACAAAAAATCGGCACGCACTGCACTTGGCATCGCATTTTCGAATGACGACGCGCGAAACTGCTAGCCGCTGTTCCGAGCGATCCTTGGCAGTGAAGGGGGGGGGGGGGGGGGTGACGAGCTTGACTGTGTTGTCCGCTGCCGATGCGTAAAATGCCCGTACAATATTCAGAGGAGCTAGCGAGTGATGTGGTACATTCCTTGCGAAGAAGCACGTCACCAAGAGTGCGCTTGCGCGTCGTTCCTGCCCGCAGTCTCATTGTCAGCGGAGTTAGGCCTAAAGCCGACTCCGATGACGCGCCGCACTCGTAGACCGCCGCGCACCCGCTCGTAGTAATCTGATCGTGCATCCGGTGCGGCCACTCGTAGTAATCAGATCGTGCCGCCGCTTACAGCTTCGTTGCTTGCGAAGAAGCACGTCGCCACGAATGCGCTAGCGCGTCGTTCCTGCCCGCAGTCGGCGGAGTTAGAGCTAAAGACGACTTCAATGACGCGCGGCGCTCGTAGACCGCGCTGACGCTCGTAACCTGATCGCGCATCCGCTTACTGCTCGTAACTAAAGGGTAGTTATATCTTAAGTGATTATCAAGCCGTGAACACGTCACGAAGTGACGATTTTCGAGAGCCATGTCCTCGACGCACAAGCAGCACACGACGATCTCCCGGAGCGAACATCGGGCCAATGGCGAGGCGAGCTGAGGCAACATGGCGGCCACGGCCAATCAAGGGCCTCAAAACGACCTTCAAACATTTGCTTTTTGCTCGCTTGTTGTTAAAGGGAGGAGCCAGCTGAGGCGGGAAAGTTAAACACGGAGAAATGCTCTTTCCGATGAGCCCAAGAAGTCGGCTCCCGGCCCAAGCATAGCGAAGCTATTATTTTTTGAAAATTGCCGTTTTCTCGCCATTTCCAGAAAAATTTTTGCTACCTAGGTGGGTCAAACGAATTTTCCGAAGCACTTCTGCGCGGTTTTCAGTGTAGATATTTTGGAACCAGATAGAAAAAGGGTTCCAGAAACTGAAGACTTGAGTTTCAAAAAATCGATGTTTTTGCCATTTTTCGCGATCCCAAAGCCGCGTCCCCCCTTAAAGCTAAGTAGACTTCAAGTGCTCCGTGTGGAAATAGTGTGAAAAACTACAGTGCGTAATAGTGAGTACAACACAAATGTTAGTACAACACATTATTTATTAACATTCCAGCACCCGATATGGGAGGGAGCCTTGTTCACAATAATAGCCATAAGAAAGGCGCAGCGTACATAAGTATGCCTATGTACGTGACGTAAGCAGCGAGAGTAGTGTCCCATCACTTCTGTTCAGTGTATGTACAGTCGTCTGTATCTGGATTTCAGGTGCAGGCATAATGCAAGCTTTTTATTAAATGCGGAGCATTTTATAGTCACACCTACTCGCAAATCCGGCATTGGCGGTGGTGCCTACACCCTACTGTGCATGCCTGAGTCTCGCGTCTCGTTCCACATGCTCTCGCCTCGTGCCAACTGTCACTCTCCCCCTACTTTCGCCTTGCCAGGATGACATAGGCAATGTCTGCTAGTGAAAACGACTGCTTGTGCTGCACAACAGTTCACTACTTACATGTAGCCACTGAATTGGGCATTCAGAATTCAGTCAAAGCCGTCTTTACTTGGCTTTCGTTTGACTTGACACTTTGCTTGACTCGAGTAGATGCGATGGAAGCAACAGTACCTTCAACCAGTAGTGAGGCACAACCCAATATCAGTGTCCCATCCACTTGTTGAAGGCAACGCTTCTCTTTCATTTGATAAATACGAATTTTAATGACAAAATAGCAATTAAGCATTTGCAAACCATGCCCAATTACGCAACAATCATGCGATACCCCCACTGCTCTGTGACGCATTTACTCGATCCCCCCCCCCCCCCTGTGGGTTTTTTTTTGTGTTGAGCTGAGCACACGAGGTTGACCAGTCTATTTGGTGGTCTGTAGATTCCGCTTGTTTAGCAGGGACAGTCAGTCGAGACCATGTGTCTTTTCATAGTGTCATATTTGTGTTGTTTAACTCTTTTCTTGAAATCGTCAGTTTCACCGATGTACTGGTTGTCACAATTGTGGCGGCCTATGGCATAAACAAGACCAAGGATATCTCTGCTCGGCAACTTGTCCTTCACATTGCCTAAAGCATTCCTTAGCTTCCACGTTGGTACATGCACTATTTTTATGTGTGTTGCTTCTACATATCACACGGCATATCTGGCTTTTGAACCACAACATTCCTCATGTCCACCGGCCAATTTCCTTAACCAGCGTCTGTTCAAAAATAATGGAACATATAATTCATTCACAAATCGCTAACTTCCTTACCTCAGTTAAATTTTTTCACCCCAACCAACATGGATTCCAAAGGGGACTCTCATGCGATACTCAGCTTGCACTATTCATCCATGACTTAAGCGCTAGTGTAGACCTTAACATACCAGTTGACGCCCTTTTTATTGACTTTGAGAAAGCCTTTGACAAAGTTCCCCACAACCGCCTACTACTAAAACTCTCCCAATTAAGCCTTAACCAACTTGTCTACAATTGGATTCAGGACTTCCTCACTAACCGTCAGCAATTTGTTGAAGCTAACGATACGCCCTCTTCCCTTTCCAACGTAATCTCCGGTGTGCCACAAGGTACAGTTCTAGGACCCCTCCTCTTCTTAATTTACATCAATGATTTACCCGATAACATTTCATCTAACATCCGCCTCTTTGCCGACGACTGTGTAATCTACCGACCTATTACTAACGTTTCAGATACAATTACTCTCCAGATACTGGACGAGTGGTGTCGCAAATGGCTCATGGTATTAAATACTAATAAAACTGCACTTATTTCATTTCACAGACGCCAAAACTTACCCACCACTAACTATAATATTAATGGCTCCATAGTTTCTTCCCTAAGTTCCATTAAATATCTCGGTGTTAACATTTCACAGAATCTAAACTGGTCTTTTCACGTAAGTAAAATAGTTAACAATGCTAACAGAGCTCTCGGTTACCTTCGTCGTAACTTGCATCTTGCCCCTCCATCAGTCAAATTACTAGCCTACAAAACACTAATTCGCCCAAAACTAGAGTACGCATCCGCCATTTGGGACCCATTCCAAATTAACCTAAGTAAGTCCATCGAACTAATTCAAAACCGAGCAGTTAGATTTATCTACTCAGATTACTCGTATCATACCAGTGTTACCACCCTTAAAAGAATAGCAGATCTACCTAACCTTGACCTACGCCGTAAGGTTTCCAGACTATCCTTGTATCACAAAATGTATCATACGTTTCATTACAACTGTCCCATTCAATCAGCTCATCGTACTTCAGCCCGCACAAGCCACCACAAGGCCGTGTACCCACCTCCTGCATGTACCACAGCCCACCATCACTCCTTCTTCGCTCAAGCAGCCAGGGACTGGAACGATCTTCCCCCAAGTGTCATCCATCATAGCAACACGGATAGATTTAAAAATGCCATAGAATCATTGTTTTATTAACCCTATATTGTTTGCCCACACCCTCATGTAAAGCCCCCTGTTGGGTGGCCTTTGAGGTATATTAAATAAATAAATAAAAAAAATGTCTGTAAATTTATGCATGTTTGTCTAGGCCATGCGGCTCGGCTTGAAGGCCGTCTGGTTTGTCTAAGCTTGAACTGCCATCAGTATAACCTTGCCGAGCTACTCATGCTTATTATTATTTTTATTATTATTATTATTATTATTATTATTATTATTATTATTATTATTATTATTATTATTCTCATCATCATCATCATCATTATTATTACTATTATTATTATTGGTGATGCAACAGCAAAAATACTCAGCTACACACTTATTGCTGGTAGCTCGTGTTTCAACGGTAGAACTTGGGTAACTTCAACTAAATTTCTGATTTCTGTTTTGTGAGTAACGTGTCAATATCCGTGATTCAGGTGTAGAATCAAGGTAGCTGTTGCGCCTTGACAGGTTGTTTCTTGCCACCACATATTCAAACATCGGCACTTTAAACACCGTCCCCAACTTTCATTGCAGCTGTCCAAGGACTTCCATTGCACTTCAATCATCAGAGCCCAGAGACACAAAATACAAGCATGCATGTGCTCGTCAGAAAAATAAAGAAAAATTCGCAGTGCGGCTCTGTTCTTGCAACATTGTCATTACTCGTTGTCAAGGCAAGATACACGGAATACGGGAGTTGTAGGTTTTTTTTTTTTTTTTTTTTTGCAGAAAAGTATATTTTAGAGGGGCGCAAATTAGGTGGGGACGCAAATCAACTGTATATACAGCAATCCAGGTCGAATCAAATCTAATCCAATCCACGTCCTAAATAGTTGATTCAGTAAATACAGCAGTTCAGGTCAATCGAATTCAATCCACATCCTAAGCAGCGTGGCTATAGCCGTTATAGGAAAGTAGATTATACTCCAGTGGCAGAACCGACCAGGCTCCCATGTCTTCATTTTGCACGGATGCCGTGAGATAACACCACTTCTACGTTTCCTAGCAGCTTTGACTGCGATGTCAGACTATCGCAGGCTCCTTCAAACTTTCATCTGTGGTTACTTTCAACTGGTGTGTTTGCTTTGTGGTTCTTCCGAATATCAAACAGCTGACTTGCTCACTGCCAGGCTCAGGTATTTTATTTTGGCCAGATATACATACTCAGAACATTCTGAGTGAGTCTGGTAAATATGTTTACTTACCATATATGGAGCTCCTGATTTTTTTTTACAACTCGAGGGTTTGTTTTCAGTGCACAGAGCTTTCCAAGCAGACGGGGCAGTCATGGAATTTGCTTTTAATCATCATGGAAAACCTGTAAAAGTCAGGGAAGTTATAAACATCAAATTGGTGGACACCCTGCTTACTTTTTATAAATTATTTTAGTAGTATTCAGTTTCGTGTCGTCACTTTGCACACACTTCTACTAAGCTACAGAATTCTGTAGGTCGAAGGAAGGAGGTGAAAGAAACTTCAGAGCAGTTGCTTGGTTGCCAGCAGCTAGCTGACCATTTGTTTTCTTTAAGAAGTGTGCATGCACATGAATTTTGTAGGTCCTAGGAAAAGAGGTGATGATACAGATGTGCTGATGAAATTTTCAAGGCAGTTGTTTGGTTAGAACAAGTTTTAAAGCAATGATCAGTAGACTTGGAACAATGTTGCTCATGTGTTGCGGCCTATTTTGTGCAGAAAAGCCCAGAGGACGTCAGTAACTTTGATGAAGAGTTCACGTGTGAGCAGGCAGTCCTGACGGCACCCAAGGATCCCCGCCCTCTCACTCAAGAGGAGCAAGCACATTTCAAGGATTTTACTTACACCAGTGGCTGGTGCTAAAGAGCTCTTCACGCCTCTACCTGAAAGTCTTTCCCTTGTCTTGCCGTACCTTCCTGTCATCAGGCAAACTCTAGAAGCATGTGGTGCTTCTGTACACAAGCAAATAGCACTGAGCATTTTTGGGAGAAAAAGAAAAGTGTGCCTAATGTGAAGAACTGCAGAGATAGCTTTGGGGAGACTGCTAAAAACTGACAACTGTAGCGTTTGGGAACTGGTCGGTTGTGTGTGGCATTATTGCTTTGCATTTTGTGAGCGCGTGCTGCCTGCCAGTGTGCTTTAACGCCAAACTTCAATGCTGTGCTTGTGCACTAGACAGGTAAAGCGTACAATATTCTCCCCGAGCGTCCTGCAGGCAAAATGTGTGGCATTTCGCTTTTTTTTTTTTTTCTGCGAAGTAGGGCAGCTTACTGACAAACGTGTTGTGGATATCTGCAGGAAAATAAAGCTAGTGACTTCCTTCACTGCTTCCTGATGGTTTGAAGAGCCTGTGTAAAGGCGTGACTTGCTAAGCAGTAGTGCGAATGAGTGCTCTTGTGACCCTTTCCTTCATAGAAACTACAACTTGTAGAAAGGTGTTCCTGGTCATGTTGCTTAAGAGTTTTGGCTTGCACAATTGCACTTACCGGTGTGTTGCAAGTCTTGTGACAGTACTTGGCCCTACTTTGATATTTGTCGCACCTTCATGATCTCGTGTGTCATGCCTGATGTGGCTGTGTCCTTCATTTTGTGTGTAATAACTGTAGCTATTGCATTACTGTTCTTGTTTTTAATGTTTGTCACTGCTGCCTGTTGCACTTCAGGTCACACACATACATACGCACAAACTGAATGTATATCCATAGAAGTGCCATAAGCACTTCCTTGCTGCTTACACAGAAATTTCACACAGCCCTCTAGAGCTGTTGAATGCAAGGTTCTAATGGTGTAGTAGTCACATTGCAAGATTTGTGCTTGAAATTAAACTATTTGAAATTTCTCTGTGTTAGCTGGCTATGCATACCGCTGCCTGAATATGCAGTTTCAACTTTTCATCTTCAAGCATTTTTTGCTAGAGCTGCTTGTATAACCAGCTGACCTTCTATACATTTAGTCTCTGCTATACCAGGCTTCACAGCCTGTTGCATTAATATGGTAGTGGGTTTTTTCATGTAGAATTCACTGCATGTGAAGTCGTTTCACTCATTGAAATTCTTGAATTTATTGAGAAGTGTGAACTTTGCTAATGCAGTGGCAACACTGGTAGAATCTCACAAGTTAATCGCTTCTTGTGCGCTATCAAATTTATATAGTATACTCCCATACAGGAGTGTATGGGTGTTGGAAGATGTGCAGCAATGCAATTTTTGTGCCTTTTCTTTTCTTTGCACATTGAGTACAAACTGGTAGCCTGTTCAGATAGGACAAGTGAACCCCCCCTGTTTGCTCATTGCATTGAAACAAATTGAAGGGGCCAGGCTTGCAAGCATAGCCAACACCTTTGATGTGTGCCTTTTTTAAAGTGCTTTGGAAACAAACGTGCTCAAGCAGTTAGGGGAGGAGAGCTGGGAGGATGATGTTCGGGGGTATTTTGTGCAAATAGAGCATTTAAGAAGCCTGTTACTTGAGCCTATGTAACAGGCCTTAACTTATGCTACTGTACTGTCAGTAGCCTCGTTCACAGTGGAGGCTTGCTGCTCTTTTGCTGGCTGTTTTGTTTGGTCCTTTAAGAAGGGCACATGAGCCAAATTTTGCCAAAGTTTTTAGAATATTTATGTGTGCTGTAGGAAGATCCAACTAAAAACCTCTTCTCCATCCACTTTGTGGAGTAAACCTAACTTTTTTAAGAATGTATCAACAACACTGTTTACCTACTTGATTTTTCAATGCAGGAAATGTAAGTTAGGCGATAACCTAGATGGGAAAAACTGGGCTAGTTCGCATATTGTGTTGCAGTGTTGTGTAATTATCACAGTTCTTGTGTCGTGAGGCGGCACAAGAACTGTGCTATGCGTCATGAGGTGACACTTACTGCCAAATTTGAGGTTACTATTACTGGGCTTTAAATCCAATTACATTTTTAATGTGGTGGCATGTGAACAAACTGCACTTTTCAGCTAGTATGGGGCCAGTGAAAAAGGGGTAGGGGAGTGGTAATTTCAGGTTCTTCATAGTTCTTATTGTCATCAACAGCAGCTGTTTTATACTTTATGAAGTGCAATTAAGATTGCTGTTGTGAATTTTGAAGTATATTACTAAATAACTGTACTGTTGCTTTGCTGTCGGCAGCATTCTATCAAAGTGCTGTTGGTTGTAACGCTCATTTGAGACTGCAGTTATATATTTGCCATCAGTTTGGAATTAAATGCTACTAAATATGATATTTGGTATGCTCTACAGCACCTTGGAAAGATTTAGGCTTACAGAGTTTTAGATTATGTTCTTGTATAACTAAATGCTGCACATTTAATTGGTGGCTGAAGTTGGTTGCAACACCCTGTACATAGTTCTAAGTTTGACGGCTCTAGAAACATGGGTTGTTGAGGATTCTTTGTTGAGAGCATCCCTGCTTCCTGCTCAAACTTAGGCACTGCTTCAAGTCATTTCTGTAAAACGTGCACCTTAAATACTCATGATGGGCAGCACTGCAGCTAGCTGTTATAGTTTATGCACTATCTTGGTACAGATGGCACTGTGTGCTGCCTTTCTTCCTTTGTAGCAGTGTTTTTGTCTCAGGATCAGCATCTGTTGTTGTTCATTTTTGGTCAAGGGAATGAACATTGCCTTTCTTCTTCACTGTTACTCCAGTATTTATGACCAATGCATAGTTGCTGTTGCACAAGCCTTACAAAAGCTGCTTCTGCCTTCCTGTTCTTCATATTGTGTACTGTCTCTGTTCTGTCTTGCACATTCACGAGTGTCTTCCTTTATTGCAATAATATTGTCAGGAAATATTCAGTTTGCTTTGTGTAAGCTACCTTGTTTGCACGATTACTACATTTGCCATTTTGTTCACATATGCTACCAGAAGCACCCAGGCAGAAATAAGCCTTTTTTGTAGGCACAAACCACTAAAGGAACAGCATAATGTTGCAAGAAAGATAACTTTTTGGTGTCTTAAAAAATTTAGGGGAGGGCTCGCCATAATTGTAGGCAAAAGCACACCACCTCTGGTGGCTTATACGATCATTGAAAGAGTTGTGATCATGCCTCACAGTCTGCATGTGTGACCTGCCTGCAGAAACAACTATTCAGGGCACACATTCCTAACTTCAGTGCTTCATGGTCTTGTAGGAATCAATCTAAAATGGGTGATTATTTACCGTGCTTGGCTACTGCACAAGCTTCAATACCTGTTCAGTATTTGCAGGGGTTCCCTTTAATGCAGCATCACTGTAGTGTATATCTGCCTAGACTGTAGTAGCTACAGTCATAATAGGTACTATCAGCGTCAAATGAAACTCGAACAGCGGCAAGCCTTGTCGACAGTGTAGTGCGCACCGTACAGTTATCAACGTTGACAGGCGCGTGCATACTGTTCGGCAGCTCTGTGCATATACGCGTGCCTGTCCGTGGTGATAGCTGGACGGCACGCACTATACCATCGCAAAGGCTTGCCGCTGTTCAGGTGTCATTTGACGCTGATAGTACCTGCAGTAACTAAGGCAGACTTTTTGCAAGCGAGTAAAAATGAAAAGCAAAGTCTACTATATCTACTGCCACGTTATAGTTGTGCAGATATGGTGTTTTAGTATTGCAGTTTCCTTGTTTAAACCAGAGTTTGTTACCATTTGGATTGTGAATGTCATGCCAGTTCTTTGAGCGTGAGAGAACTTAAAAAAGAAAGGCTTATCCATTCAATGACCAGACTGCTGCCACAGCATTAATCAGTTTTTTTCTTTTGTTTGTGTTTGGATTTAGTTTGCTCATTTGACTATGATTTTCTCAATGTAAAGTCAACCTTTTTGTGTCTAGTAATGACTATTTCTAGTTCATTTTGGTGTGTTTGACCTTAACATAGTACACTTTTGATGTTCATACAGTGCCCAAATTTCAGACAGCTGTCTGTTCAAAGAGGGTGCAGCAGCAAAGGCCTTCAGTGTATTTTATGTTGCCCATGTTACTGTGAGGGGAAAAGATTGTCAAATTTTTGTAAGCACATCATATTTATGAATATGCAAAATGCATATTAGTACACATTTTACAAGACAGAGGCTGAGCATTAGTTTTGCTTTTGTTGCTGCTGTACACAGCTCTTACTTCAGCGGGAAAATGAACGAAAATGTGTATTTCATTTTGCATATATTGTTGATACTCTTTTGTATTCATTTTGCAATACAGTTGAAGAAAGCTTTCACAGATTTCACATGTTTGTCGCCAAAGAATATAACATAAATAAGAAGTGCACCAAGCTGCTGTACCCTCACGAGAGGTTCACTCCTTGTTTGTGCACATGTGCAGGACTTTTTTTGCTGTTTAACATTCAATTTCTGTTAATTGCTAAGAGGCCTAGCATGTGGCAGAGAGCCGAATGGCTACCCACATTGTTCAATCAAGTCAGATTTCTGGTGTTTTGGAGATGCATAGAACATGTGAATTTTGCTCTCAGTTTTGTATGTGGAGCTTCCTCCCACTTATTTTTTTTTTGTATTTTGCAAAGGAGATATTGCACACCTTGAGAGAAGGATTTTCTGGGTGCCAACTGTTTTTACATAATATCAACAGCATTCAGGTTGGCTAGTTTTTACTGCGCTTTTAGAAAGCTTGTTGCCCTTATTGATTGTGTGGAGCCTTGCAATTTTTTATATGAGCCAAGGTTGGTTGTACAGATGGTTCAAGAACACTGCAATGTGTGTTATTCAAGACAAAGTTGCTCTTGACTGTGTTGATTACTGGTCTTCCGTTTTATTACAGAATGGGTAGGTGTACTTGTATATATATGTTTGAGTGTACTGTTACTAAATAAATTAATTGGAATGATGTTGTGGACTGCTGTGTTCTTTAGAATTTTACATAGCAATTCCTAGTTGAAATTTTTTTCCATAGCCCTGTGGAGAAACCAACATCAGTGTGTGTCTGAGATATTGCAGGCAAGTCGAGCCATTAGGCTTCCCTGCCCAAACCTTGTAAAGAGAATAATGACACAAAAATTTTGCATTGTTTTTACATTAGCCCAATTATGGCTAGACACGTTGTTCACTTGAACGTGTGACAGTGAATTTGGAGATTTGATATCTGAGAGTATGAAGCCCAGTGGGGTTTGTGAGCATTGCACTGACAACTGGGCTTCTATTATTAGACTATCATAGATAATGTTGGCAAAAATGCTGCTTTTGAGTAAGCACTGACTGGCCAATTAAATATAGAAAGCAAGTAACCACTTCCCTTACCTTATTAGAAATGCAAGATTCTAAGTCATGCAAAGCTACCCTGTCCCTGAATTGGATCGTCGCAGGAGAGACTACACTAATGAGCACGGAAGTCATCATGAGAAATAAGATGGGAACAAAAATGGCTGCTCTGCTGTCTGCTTAGCTGTTCTGGAGAGGGTGAAAAACCTGGGAAGAAGAGTGCCAAGCCAACATTTTCCAAAGCCGCTCTTTGTGCTCGGGATAGAATTCCCATCGTACTCTTTTACTGTGCTCATGGAAGGGGGATGAAGGAGGGAGCGCTGGTAGTGCCCTCAAACCTGCCTCTCGTGCTCGTGGAATTCAGAGACATGGGGATGCGTCTTTGACCGAAGGGGGTACCTGCAACATATTGACGAATAATCATCGAATGGCACCAGGTTTACGGCCTCTTGAATAGTCTGCGCAATGTTTTTAGGATCCGTCTACAGGGGTTTGACGCCACATAAAGCGCTTTCTCTCATTTCGTACCAGTGATCGCGATGAAAGCTACACGACGTTCGTAGTGTGTTAACAACGTCCCGCCACCCTTCGACAGCTTTCCGCACGTAACATGGCTTTCTATCGCCTCCAGGATTGTAGGAATCTCGTTAGGGCACTGCATGGGCTCGGACCTACCCGAAAACATGGGCCTGGCCCCGCGTGATTAAGTCAATGTGTGTACCACATCAAGAATTAGTAATTAAGTCAAAAGTAGTTTTTTGTGAAGGCGTTCTTTGTTTATCGATCAGGTGCACGGAGAAAACATCACATCTAATATTTGGGGTATACAAGGAGGCAAGAAGCTATATGTCTGCTCGTCAGCGCGTATCCTTGAGCGCTGCAGCGAACCGGTTTAGCAAGAGGGTTCTCTCGGCGGCGTAAAATCCAGCTGTGTACAGTCATTGTTCTCCCGTGTCAACGCCCCTAAAGGAGGGGTTTGATTATCGCCCGTCGTTGACACGCCAGGTCCGTTGATTGCCTGCAAAAAAAAAAAAAAAAGTCCAGCATTTTCACGGAGAGGTGATGGTGAGGTGGGCGAAGCTCCGGAGGTTTTTTGGTGATACCGTGAATCCTTCGAGGAGCAGCATATGGGTCCACCCGGTGCCACGCGCGTTTCGCTGCCGTTTACCGCATTCCAGGGTCCGCTTCTCGTTGAGCCTATTTCGCAGTGGCTTCCTTGGCGCGCACCGTCTCAGGATCCGCCCGGCGCCGCGCTCGCTTGGTGGCAGCCTCTCGAGCCACCAAGCGCGATCTGACGTCAACGGCTACGATCCAGGAGAACGATGAGAGGATGAGAGATAGCGGCGCGCCCATATTTGTGGCACCCCGGCGCAGCCCGCACAGCAGCCAATCGGAGAGTAGCGGCCCCTCCATCTCCACCTAGTGTCTATTCACCTAACCGCCATTTGCACACATATCTATGGGACAGCGCCATAAACAAGAAATAGCGATGACGACACAGGTAAAGCCCCTGAATAAAGAAAAAAGTAATAACATCTATTGCTAATTGGCATCTATTGCAACTAGTCAAACTTTCGATTCTGTTGCAATATCGTTAGACCTTCGTCCTTCCAAGTGCCGCACATTCATTTTCTAGCGTTCGTCCGCGACGATTCCTTGAAATAGTTTTTGAAAGCGCCTGCTTTTTATCAACCATGAAAGATACAAGCTTTTCATGTGACACTTCTCGGCATGCGTGCAAGGCGCGTTTATGGCAACGCCGGCGTCCACCGCATCTCGCATTTCTCAAGAGCGGAAAACGCGGCGTGCGTTTTCAACGTGAGGTGCTGGCGTGTAATGGTCGCGTTTTTTTTTTTTTTTTTGGCTAATATCGAGTTTTAGAATAGCGCACCGCATGCCTTTGCGGTATACGGTCGCTGCCACTGTGCATGCGTCGTAACGCGAGCCGCCGTTCGCGGCCCGCAAACGCTGGTTTCGAGGCTAGTGTCGCTGCGATCGTGCGTTGCGGTTTGCAGGAGAGCAAACGCTATTCTATGACTCATATGGCGCCCGCTATGCCCGCAACGCCTGTAAACATTATTCTAGAACTCCCTAATAAATTTAGATTTTCTGCGCAGTGCCAGGTGCTTCGAGGCAGGGTTTTCATTTTCGCATCATCCTGTCGATAGATATCCGCTGCAGTCGGCAGTCCGATAAAGACCGCCGTCGCGCGCGGTATTTTTCGGTGGTAATGTAGGAATTGAATGATAAATGTTCTAACGCATCGCATGATTAAAGTGGTGGAGCCACCAAATTTCGAGGCTATCCCAAGGCTGTTGTGGATTTCCTCTGTGTGCATGAAGGAGTGTCCACATGAAGGGTAGGACATTTTAGTGTCATTTCAAAACGCCCGTCTTAAATCGTAAGACCACGTGCGCTCTATAACTTCGGAGGCGAACGTATGCGCAGCTTTGAAACCAGCTAGGGGACCCGTGCGTGGTAAATGAAACAGTGTGGGTGCCCTCCACTACGACGTCTCTCATCATATCGTGGTTTTGATACGTAAAACCCCACATATTATTATATTTTGGGTGTAACTTTACATAGACCGGGCTAACGTTACTAGACTAGGTAATCTAATCTAGTAACGTTGGCCCGGGCCTCTGTTTACGTCCAAACTAGTGGTGATGTTGCGAGGCGCTGAAAACTCAGATGAGCACTCATGCTTACCTTAAAACTATCATTCCTTAGTCATAATCAGTGCGAAGCGTCCATGACAACATAAGTGCCTTGAGTTTCCAAACTAGGTGTCAAGGGCAGTAAATGCGCAATTCCTCAAATTGCACCGTGAGGCCCTGGGGTGCCGCCTCGTCCATCACCGTAAATTGGTTCCCCGCCCACGTGGGGAACCTGCCAAATGATGTCAACCACAACGAAGAAGCAGACACAGCCGTCCATGAACTCATCAGTTGCCCGGATGGCAGCGTACGCAAGACAACGACGAACACGCGCCCGAACCCCTGACCGACTATGGTGACATTCTCAGAAGATTCAGGGAGGGCAGTAGAGTCTACCCAGCGCCGCATAGAGATCTCTTTCGTGCAGAATCGGTTTTACCCAGACACTTACAGGTGAAGTGCGTGTTAACCCCGGTGTTGACACGCCACATCTGCCCGGAGCAAGCCCATTGTGCAGTGTTTGTGAACAAGAACTCGCGACACTCGAACATATGGGGCAGTGCAACTGAGCAGTAACGCGTCCAGCGGAACATGCCAGTGAAAAACACGTCAATGGTAGAGGCGCAACGAACGAAGACGAAGATACCGACCTCGTTTCCGAGCAGACCCTACCCGGACATATGGAGCAATGGATTCACTCTGTGGACTACCAATCCCAAAAATGGGCGATCCAGGGGCTTGAGGAGGCACTTGCCAGGCAGGAGAGAACGAGAACCAACGGCCCGTCAAACTGGGCTGAAGAGACCCAAGTATATCTGATCCTAGACCAGACGTAACCCTCGAGATCTAGGCCCAGTGCTCTTGGGAATCTTAGGAACTAAAGCACTAGAAGGCTAGCCCGAGCCCTGCGCGGCCGGAAACTACCTGCACGCTGGATCCTGCAAATAAAGTTTCTCTCTCTCTCTCTCTCTCTCTCTCTCTAGTCATTGCATCCCGGGGCACGCCGGTGTGGTGTCTAAGATTCTAAAACATATAGTGAATGAGTTCCGTGTAGAAAGTTCGCGTGTTATTACGTGTAAAAAATGAAGGTCGAGCACCAACTAGCAGTACCATATATCCAAGAAAAAATGTCTGTGTAGGTGAAGTCTCTGGTCTATCAAAGCTAACTATAAAAGCCACATGCCCATCACGCACTTTCAAGATTTCGCTTTGTTCATATCACCTTTGTCGACGTGCGGCGGCTGCATTTACGATGGAGGTGGAAATGTTGTAGGCCCTTGTGCTCAGATTTGGGTGCACGTTAAAAAAACCGCAGGTGGTCAAATTTCCGGAGCCCTCGCCTACGGCGTCTCTCATAATCATATGGTGGTTCTGGGACGTTAAACCCCACATATCAATCAATCAACCTTTGTTGACAGGCATGAGCGCTCATCCTTCCTTTTTTTTATTTTACAAATTTTTTTTCCTTTAAAATTCAGTTAATAGTGCCTTGTATTTGTGCCGGTGCAAATTAACGTATGGTTTCCTATCTGACACTACCAGTGCCTGTTGATTCTTATGCTCTGAACGATTGCTGCGCCAGAGCTTCCTCTATAGTTAATTTTAAAAAAATTTTGAGTTCGAAGGCGTAAATTTTGTCGTTTGGCAACAACGACCATATGATTGTTTTGACTGTTGTTATGGCAACATTTCCGCCGCAGCGCCTTCTTTGGTTTGTCTCTGGATTTGTTTTCCGCCGGTCTGCCTTGCCGCTTTGTGCTTGAAAGTTTCCTTGTTGACCTCGTTGTCGTTGAAGTTACCAGGGTCTTTACTTCGTGTCTTTTTATTTCCAACATCGCTCACTGACACTCGTAATCGTCAGGCACCTATCCTCATGACGCGAAAAGTTATTGTAGTGGCGGACAAAGCAGATCTGCATTCCCGTCTCAAAGATTTGATTCAAGAAGTTGCCGATACCTTCGTTTCGTCGGGAAATGAGTTCCTTAAAGTCGGTGTTTCTGGTAAGTGTCGCCCAGCTTCACTAAGCTCAGAAGCTGAACTCGTACGCCGTGTTAACTGTTCGCTTACTGTGCCACTTGTACTCTTCAGGTGGTAGCATGCCTGGCATGCTCGCGCAAGTACTTCCTGGTGTCAAAACGGTTTGGAAGAAGTGGCGGTTTTTCTTTTGCGACGAAAGGCTTGTTCCGATTGAAGATGCTGAGAATACTTACGGCAGCTACAAAGCACTGCTTGCACCGAAACTGTGTTTGACAGAGGAACAATTTGTGCTTGTCAACACATCACTGCCGCGTAAGGCCATCAGTTCATTCCGCGCAACTTTCGTTGATTTTGGGGTTTTTTGCTAATGTTATTTACCATTTGTTTGTCAGCATCTGAAGCGGCTCAGAAGTACTCCGAAAAGCTGAAAGAATACTTCAAGACTGTCCCCAAGTTCGACCTGTTGCTGTTGGGAATGGGCCCGGATGGACATACTTGTTCCCTGTTTCCTGGACACAAGCTGCTTGAGGTGAGCGGCAAGATTCTCTCCCTGAACAATTTTTGTTGCTCACTGCTGTAGACTTGTTCTCGGAAATTGTAAGCCGCCTCATTTTATGATGCCGTAAATGAGACTTTTCACTGCCACCGGCTTTTACCGAATTCGGGGTATACGGGGTCGTCTTTTATTGTTGTAAGTTCCGGGAGCTAACGTAGATGGATGTATAATATTTTACTACATATTGATTGATTTCTGGATTTTAACGTCCCAAAACCACTATATGATTATGAGAGACGCCGTAGTGGAGGGCTCCGGAAATTTAGACCTCCTGGGGTTTTTTAACGTGCACCCAAATCTGAGTACACGGGCCTACAACATTTCCGCCTCCATCTGAAATGCAGCCGCCACAGCCGGGATTTGATCCCGCGACCTGCGGGTCAGCAGCCGAGTACCTTAGCTACTAGACCACCGTGGCGGGGCATTGGTTACATATTCCTGGCAGCATTTTGCAGGACTTCAAAAAGCAAACGCTTGATGCTTAAAGGCTAAACCCGTTTTTGTTCTCTCTCTCTATTTCTCTCTCTCCATATATATATATATATATATATATATATATATATATATATATATATATATATATATATATATATATATATATATATATAAATGAGAGAGGTGTATACCTAAGTGCTCGTTCTTCCGTGTTTTGACAGAATATTAATGAGATCTAACAGACAATAATGCCAAGGAATGTATAGGGGAAGTTATTAGAACCAATGTAATATAAGTAAGAAGAAAGAAAAGTGGGTGAAAAAACTTGCAGTGAGCAGGAATCGAACCTACGACCTTCCAATAACGCGTCGTAGGTTAGAGCATCAAACGCGTTATTCGAAGGTCGTAGGTTCAATTCCTGCTCACGGCAAGTTATTTATTCACCCACTTTTCTTTCTTCTTAGTTATATTACATTGGTTCTAATAACTTCCCCTATACATTCCTTGGCAGTATTGTCTGTTAGATCTCACACACACACATATATATATATATATGTATGTATATATATATATATATATATATATATATATATATATATATATATATATATATATATATATATATGTATGTATGTATGTATATATATGTATGTATATGAGATCTAACAGGCAACAGATAATAATGGCAAGGAATGTATAGGGGAAGTTATTAAAACAAATGTAATGTAAATAAGAAGAAAGAAAAGTGGGTGAAAAAATAACCAGTCGTGAGCAGGAAGCAGCTGGTTATATATATATATATATATAGGCAGGCATGGTGGTTGAGTGGCCGTAGCGTTGCATATAGTCTAGTAGATCCTCCGTGAGCGGTCACAACGTGGTTTATTTCGACGTTTCGGCCTAGAGTCTGGCCTTCATCAGAATTCCTGATGAAGGCCAGACTCTAGGCCGAAACGTCGAAATAAACCACGTTGTGACCGCTCACGGAGGATCTACTAGACTATATATATATATATATATATATATATATATATATATATATATATATATATATATATATATATATATATATATATATATATATATATATATATATATGCGATATAACAGACAGTTATATATAGGTCGTAGGTTCGATTCCTGCTCACAGCTGGTAATTTTTTCATCCACTTTTCTTTCTTCTTTCTTCTTATTTACATTCCATTGGTTCTAATAACTTCCCCTGTACATTCCTTGGCATTACTGTCTGTTATATCGCATTAATATTGTGTTAAAACACGGAAATACGAGCCCTTAGGTATACACTTCTCTCCCTTATATATATATATATATATATATATATATATATATAACTTCGAGAATAGTGCAGTATAGGAAACAAAACAATAAGTTATTTATTTAATCCTAACAGTTTCGGCTGGTGGCTTCGGAGGATGTCAGTGAAATTTCACTTACATCCTCCGAAGAAGGCTGGTCCACCAGCCGAAACTGTTAAGATTAAATAAATATTTTATTGTTTTGTTTCCTATACTGCACTATTCCAGAAGTTTATAACTTTTATTACGGTAGCATGAAGAAACTCTGATCATATATATATATATACAAGGAAATGACTGTGCTTATTGATGGTGTACCTGCGAAAGCGCTCGTTGATACTGGTGCTGCCGTGTCCGTGTTAAGTGGTGAACTGTGTCGCAAGCTGAAGAAGCTTATGCAGCCGCTTTCCGATGTCTCTCTCCGCACGGCCACTGGGCATCACATCCAACCTTCTGCGGCGTGCACAGCTCGACTGGTCATCCAAAATATTTTGTATGTAGTCGAATTCGTTGTGTTTTCCCCATGTTCACACGATATCATCTTCGGCTGCGGGAGGTGGGTGGCGACGGGTAGGAGGACTTGGTGCGTTGAGGGGACGGGGCTGTCTAGCAAGATCCGTGACGGTTGGAAGCGACGGGGGCGATCGCCTGGCGGCCTCAGCGTAAGTGAGAGGGGCGGAGATAGGCGGAGGATTGTATGTGGGAGACAGGGCGTCAGAAACTTGCTCTTCGATTGCCTTGCTGAGCATTGGGGTCAGCATGTGCTCACTGGTCGGGACGTACGGCACAAGAGACAATTGGCGCGAAACTTCTTCTCGGACAAACTGCTGGATTTGCTGCATTAACGTGGTTCGTTCGGAGGAAACGGCGCCAATGGTTAACCCAGATGTAGAGGTCGTGTCGAGGTTTGGACGTCGAGTAGAAATCCGCTCTCTCCGCAGTTCGTCGAAACTCTGACAGTGCTGAATAAGCTGGGCGACGGTTTGCGGGTTTTTCGCAACGAGCATGTGAAAGGCATCGTCCTCGATACCTTTCATGATGTGCCGTATTTTGTCAGTGTCAGACATTTATGAATCGATACGACGGCAAAGGTCCAAAACATCCTCAATATACGAGGTAAAGGTCTTGCCTGAGCGCTGTAGCTTGCGGACAGCGGGTCGGCCAAAGACTTCTGCGAAGCGCGTCTTGAAGGTAGGCCAAGAGGGTATTTCCGCTTTGTGGTTGTTAAACCACAGTTCTGCCACACCCGCAAGATAGAAATTGAGGTAAGCGAGCTTGTCTGTGTCATCCCACTTATGGTGGGCGCTTACCGCTTCATACTGCGACAGCCAGTCTTCGGCGTCTTGGTCATCGGTCGCATTGAAAATCACTGGATCTCGCTGTCGTGGCATTCCGGAACAGGTGACAGATGGGATTATCATTGCAGGGGGCTGGGTCATGTTGTCAGGCATTGACGAGGCGAGGGGCGGAGGTAGAGTCCGGGAACGGAGTTCCAGTTTGAGACAACCAGCACCTCCACCAAATGTAAGAATACTGCTAGGCGCACGCCAGGGTTGAGCAACCGTTTATTGGGCCTAACAGTAACGAGACAGCAACCAGCGGTTTCAGCAGCAGCTGCAGTAGCACGAGCCTCCGCCACAACAAACGTCTTCTTCGTCGTTCTTAGAGCCCGTATTTGTCACTACAATATATATATATATATATATATATATATATATATATATATATATATGTCCCTTCTCTCTCCAACGAACTTTCTCTTGATTTTTAAATGCCACTATATAATAATTAGGTTCCTTATAAATGCTGAGCTCTTTTTTTGTACCTTTGTGTCTTGTAACGTATCATTGTTAATGAATTGTAATTATGTGTTTCATTGATATTGAGAATTTTTGTATCCTTAGTGCCTTGTATTATATATGTGTGTATATTTTTATAATCCATTTCTGGTACAGCCACTGACATTTATGTACCCACTCCTGCTTGGTCTCGAATAGGGCCTACAGTATTTTTAAATAAATAAATGAATAAATTTGAAACACTGTTTTCTTTGCATATTGTGATGCACAGTACTTTAGTTAAGGGCACAGTCGAGCCTTTATTTTAATAAAGGATTGAATTTTTCTAGGAGAAAACCAAGTGGGTGGCTGACATAACAGATTCTCCAAAGCCTCCTCCATGCAGAGTGACTCTCACTTACCCAGTCATCAATTCTACAAAGCTGGCTATATTTCCAATTGCTGGTGTTGAAAAGGCTGCCACTGTAGCTGTGAGTTATTCTGTTGTCCTTATTTTTGAATTTAAAAGAGTGACCGGACCTTGTAATCTCATTTCATTCTTCTTTCTTTATATACATATATATCCACTGTATATATATTCAATGCATTTTGAGTTACTTAGTTGGAGCCCACACACGTTGCAATGCTGACGGTATATATGGAGTGATGTAGTGTTGCTTTACCAAATATCTATATGTCGCAGGTATTGTTAGTGGGATGAACCATCTTGATCAAAATGACGTCGCAATTCTGACTAGGAGACTTGCTTTTGCCAGGACAAAAACTAAATGCACCACAAAAACATGATGGTAGGCACAGCACGTACTATCAGCCTCAAATGAAACCCCAACAGCGGCAAGCCTTCGCGATGCTATAGTGCGCGCCGTCCACTTATTACTACGAACAGGCACGCATATATGGGGAAAGCTGCCAAACAGGATGAGCGCACTTCTTAATTGTGATAACTAGACTGCACGCACTACACTATCGTAAAAGCTTGCCACTGTTCGGGTTTCATTTGAAGCTGATAGTACATAAAACATGGTATGAAGAAGGAACACATGTGATGACACGAGCACGAAGTCAGTGCATGTGTCGTCATATGCCTGCCTTCGTCCCGTGCTTTACGTTTGTGCTGTGCCTGCCATCATGACTCACCAACTTGCCCAGCAAGCTTTACTACAAAAACTTTTCTGAATCCCTTTAAGTGCTCATTTATCAACTAGAAATCAAGTTAGGATATTTTTCGGGGCCTTTACTGTCAAGATATGTAACAGCAGAATTGGATATGAACATAATTTTTCTGTAGGATTCGCTTTCTGGGCACTCCAGAAGTGTAGCTCTTTCTCAGAGCTACACTTCTGGAGTAATATCAATGTAGCTGTACTAACTCAGGATCATGAGCATCCCCAAGTCAATTCGGCTGCTATTGTGAGTCCTGCGGATTGATTATGGTTGCTTGATATGACAGTGCACAGCTCATATTGTGGAGTTCTTTCGCACCTTTAGCAGTGAGTTGCGAGATGACTGTTGGAGCTGTTCTTGGTTACCCCTGTTCTTTTCAGAGGTCGTTCAGTCATCGCCACTGTCAAGGGGGCATACTTTAAAACGTTTCACTTTCTTGTGGCAAGTTCTATATTAGGGAAAGCTGTTGACACACACACATTTACCAAGCAAGGCTAGCAGGTGTCATCAAAATTTGTGCCAATATGCAAAGTCCACATGAAATGTTCAAGGAGCCATAGCCACCTGTATCTTTGCGCATTTTTCGGCTTGCCAAGCATCTCCTAGCTCAAAGAGTTGTGCATTTAGTATTGTGGAAGGATAATTTATGAACACAGGTGGAATTAATTTGCTCATTCGTGTACCTTTAAGGTTATAGTCTCACAATCTGTGAACTAGTAGGTTCACCTCTGTCTAGGCACAAATAAGGCCTCCAAATCGGCTAGTGTGAATAGGTTCAGATAAATACTGATAAGAGCCATTCTTTTCCCAGGGAACAGTAGAGTAGTGACTGATTCTAGTTTGTCAATTCATAGACATAGCACACAGCATAATTGCTTCAACAAATGGTAGCAAACAGAGAACATTACTTTTAGGCAATAATACTAGACTCGAAACTAACATTTCTTGCTCTCACGAGGTATAACCAGGGTCTCTGCAACATTTCTTTTTCTATTTGTGTTTGCAGTCAAGATCTATTACCGAATAATTTGCACCAAAATAGCACTGTTTGAAGGGATCTTTTACAGGCAGTTAAATGATACCCTTTTTGTTAGCGCTGTTCTTCTGACTCTGCTTAAGTTATTCATAATGCAGTCTGTTTTACTGAAAATAGGTAAATAGGGCTAAGCTTCACCACCCTCCGTCAATGCATGATCGAGCTCTACATTAGCAGGTGCCCAAAAATTCCTAACCACTCACTCTTCTCCGGTAAGTTGACAATCTGCCAAAGTTGTTTGCAGACAGCCTAAAGCTCTATCAATGAAGCTCTACCCACGCCTAGCCGTGTGTGGCTGAGCTGTATCCGGGGAAAAGGGGATCCTTGGGGTTGAGCCAACGCCGGGTGATTGGACCTTTAAGGCCCCCCTGCAGAGGCAACACACCCCTTCGGCCCCTTCTTCACGTAGACTTCACCCCTGGGCTGACCCACCCAGGGGAATTCGGTAGTCTCCTTTTCCTATCTCTCTCTCCCTACATCTTTGTCTTTTCTCCTCTTTAAATCTATCCTGTCTTTTCCATTTACTACATTCTTTTCTGGCGGCAAGGGTTGATGCCGCATAGGTATCAAACCTTGGGTATGCTATATTTGGTTATAGTGATAGCGTACAGCTGGCATTGTGCAGACTGGTTTCATGTTTTGCTGCGTCCCCTTGTTGGGCTCTGTGGGGGGCGGTTGGCGCTGTCACCGAACACACACACTACTCTTATGTCTTAACAAGCTTCTTCTCTTCTTGATCGCCCTCAGAAAAGAGGGCGCACCGAAGCCTTCCATTTTTTTCTGAAAAGCAATGACATCTTTCCAAAATATCACGTGATTCATAGTGAGGGCAACCTAACTGCTTGAAAATTTTCTCCTTTCCTGGTGACAAAATGCCTTGGAAACACCATCGCACCAGGCTACAAGGCCACGAAAATGACTAGGGGTGATTTGCTACTTGAACTTAAGGACAAAGACCAATTTGAGAAAATGAATAATGTGAAATCTATTGGTGGCGTACTAGTCACAGTGTCTGCATATAGAACAATGAACATGAGCCGTGGTGTAATATCGGAAGATGGCTTCTTGCACCTTAGTGATGAAAAACTTCTTGATGGTCTCCAAAATCAAAATGTTATAAAGGTTGAAACAATCTTGATTCGCTGAAACAATGAGCATATCCGCATTAAGCACATAATACTAACCTTTGACAGCTGTGTGCTTCCTACCACACTAGATGCAGACTACATCAAACTTCACGTGAGGCCGTGCATTCCGAATTCTCGGCGGTGCTATATGTGCCCGTAGTACGTGCACGGATCGCAGGCATGTCGGGGACAACAGACATGTACTGAATGCAGCTCCAGCGAACACGCTTACGACGCTTGCGACTCGCTTCCACATTGTGTGAACTGTGATGAAAGTCATCCAGCCTACTCTAAAACATGTCCTAAATGGAAGATCGAAAAAGAGATTATCTCACTAAAAGTAAAAAAAAAACATAACATATTGCCGCATTGAATATGCAACACCAAGAGAACAACGAAGAGCACGCGCAGCGAGAGAGAAAGACGTTCTCATCCTATCAGTTTGGCAGTGTTCTGGTACAATTAAAGTGAATTGTCCTGTATTCAACTGCTGCTGTTTCTACATTGTGACACTGGTGGAGATGCTGGGTACATGTTCGGGACACCTTACAACAGCCCCGCATCTAGCCCAGAAAGACTTCTGCGCATCAACACCCCCGTTCACCGCAGCAGCTGCCGCCTGTTAGGCCTCAGCTCGGAGTTCAGTTCATTGCTGGAAAGCGTGACCGTACCAGAAAGCATGACGGTGCCTGGAAGCACTAGCCCCAATATGTTCAGCCCAAGCATGACAATAGTTGACTGTTTTGGACCATCGACTGCCGCTTGACTTCCACGGAAACACATATGGACACACATGACTAGCTCGACAAATTTGAGCACACAGCGAACGTTATCGGGTAGAACACCACACAGAAACTGGGCTACGTGTATTTTCCGCTTCAAGACGGAGCCGGAACATGGTTTACGAATTGCACATGGTCATCTTGGGACGAGTTCCGGCAGAAGTTCTTCGTTACTTTCACGAGCACCCAAAGACGAGAAATCGCAGTGTCTCCTCGAGTCACGGATTCAGAAACCAAATGAATCCGTCCTGAAGCACGGTGCTCCGACAATCATAATAACGGATCGAGGTACCGCTTTCACGGCCGCGCTCCTGAAGACAGTGCTTCAGCTCAGTGGAACAGCCCATTGGAAAACCACTTCTTATTATCAACAAACGAACGTCTTAGCAGAGCGCCTTAACAAGACTATTGCCGAAATGTTGAGTACGTACGTTGACGTGGATCAGAAGAACTGGGACGACATTCTACCGTACATCATGTTCGCCTATAATACAGCGCAGCAAGAAACTACACGAAGAACGCCGTTGTCTCCTTCATGGCCGTGAGTTGACGACGATGCTTGACGCCATGTTACTGCACGACTGCAATGACATCGATTTGGACACTGCATCTTTTGCCCAATGAGCATAACAAGCGAGGCAGCTTGCACGCGTCCAAATCGCCCAGCAGCAAAATTACGATGCCCAACGTTATAATCTGCGACACCGATGTGTCGTCTATCGGCCCGGCAAGAAAGTGTGGGTAGGGTGGCTAGAATGGGGATGTGTGAAAAGCGGCCGCTGAAACCGGTCCCCAAAGTTCGCCGATGCCGCTTGGGGCGCTGCACGCACCGGCGCGGGTAACTTTGCGGAGGAGACAAACGAGACGGCACGTGCTGCTCTCCACAAAAATTGCTCTCATGCTGTGTGGTCGTGACCCGTCTTTTGGTAAAACCGTTTTGATTGAGCAAGTGTAGGGCAGTACATGGCACTCACGGTGGAGGAATAGGAGAGGTGTGTGAACAGCGGCGCATCGCCGTACTCAGCGCGCGCTGACTATTTGCGTGCGTTTCGCCCTCTCTCTGAGAGACGACGCTGTATGTTCAGGGGCCATCGTTCCCGCAGTTTTATGTGGTGAACACGTAGACATGTGTAGCGTTTGCACGGTTTCTTGCAATGTGAATTGTTTTGTAAACCTCTGATGGGAAAAAAGTGCTTCGTCCCGCGTTGCACGACCGGCTACAAGTCGTGTCAGGAGAAGTACTCGCTGTTTTCTGCCCCGAAAGACGACAAGCGTCTCAAGCTCTGGCGACGTGCCATACTGAGGAAATATTCCCTCTACAACCAACAGACTGTGTTTGCAAGAGACATTTCGAGTCGCAT